ATTAGAACAACAGCAGTGGGGGCTGTTTGAGGCTAGGCTGTTGCACGCCCCCTTCCGGAGGGGTTGCTGAGGCCGACCGCAGGGGGTGGAGTCGAGAGGATGCGCACAAATTGCGTAAATTTTAACCAAAGGGAAAGGGGGATGCTTTTTTACGGCACTTCATTGTACCCAGCAATCGGTTTCTTTGATTTTAAGAAATTTGAGGATACAGAAAATATTACTTACATTCAACGGAATTTTCCTTTCCTGCTGGAGGGAAAAAATCCTTATTTTCAGGATGTTCTACCAAGGGAAAAGTTTCCTTATCCTCAATTAAGGTGAAAATTTCGTCGAACCAACAAAACATTTTCTGGGTGTTCAATACTGAATAAAAATGAGTATCGTAGAGGGTAGCTCGATAAAGTTATTCCTGTGAGTAACTCTCGGAGTAACTTATTTCACTTTACCTGCTTGTTAGTTTTACTACGAATTAAGAGTGGTTGTGAATCAAGTACACATACTACGCTTAAGTTGTTTATTCACCACAAGGCGTGTCTTTGGAGACAGTGGAGTGGGGTGAAGTGCACACATGGATTTGATGTGGAGTGTTGGGAGTGTTGCTTTTGAACTTACGTCTTTGGACATGGCGTGCAGCGTCTTGAGGTTGCTGTTGAACAGTTTGCCCTGGGCCGTCCGGTTGAAGATGGAGTCGACGAACAGCCACGGGCGGATGCCTCGGAAGTACACGAGCCAGCACATGCTGATGGGAGAGGCCGTTTTAAACCGGTGCTGGTGGTTTCCGCAAAATTTTGTAATTCTTATCGAGTTTGTTTCCCACTCACCTGTTGACTGCCTTGACGTAAGGTGAGTCGATCTGCTTCGTTGAATTGACCTGGGCGTTAACTTTGGTTCCCATCGCGCATTCTGTGTGCATACAGAAGCCCACAGAAGCTTACACTGTTAGAAATAGTTGGTTTCGTCACGCTGATGTTTACTTGAAGCGTGTTTGAAAGAAACAATACTGACATAACTTAGAATTCGTCGACAAGTGACAAATAGAAACGGGCTGTCGTGAATTAACCGCATATTTTGTAAATAGAAAATAACAAAGTGCGTCGTAGATTTACAATAAAGTTATTTTCCTACTTTTTAAATAGAACAAGTTACATTTCATTAAAACTGCAGGCTCGACCGTAGTTAATTTAGCCTACCGCAGATGATGTCCAGGGTGCAGAGCGATATGTAGTGGTGCACGTCGAAGGCTGGCCTGCCGTCTTCCTTGGACATGTTCTCCACCATGAGGTTTGAGTTGCGGTTGAACGAGTCCATGAATCGGTCGAGGATGCGGAAGTGGAACGTGGGGGTGATGATGCGTCGCCGGTGGAACCATTTGGAGCCTGGAATTTATTACAGGTCTTGACTTTTAATGTGCAAATGTTAAATCGTTACAGTAAAATTAATTTGGCAGCTGTGCAATACAAATATCATTTTCTTTGTAACACAAAGCACTGCCATGCTTTGCAAGCTGCTAAAAAGATGTTTTTGTTCAGCTATAAATCACGTGCTTAACATTACAAAGCAAATGGGTTTTATTGCTAAGCTCTTAATTGTATGTTAGCCGGTGTCAACTCTGCAGTAAGAGATACCCCAACGCATAGTTTTGGCTTGGGTGCTCGACATTTCTCTCGGAATCTCTGCCGTCGCAGTTTGTTCGGCGTGTCTCTTTGCCCCGCTTCGGTGCGACGCCTCTCTGTCACATGCTTCATGTCTCGCCCCTTCGCAATATACACTTTTTCATTACTCTGCGCCGAATAGCGCGCCTCCGTCATCATCGCCCGCCCACAGAATATACTATCTCGCGTCTTTCACTCTTTTTTTTATTATTATTATTCAGAGCCGCCGTTTATTTGTAGTAGAGAATATCCAGCCGGCCCGCTTTTCACTGCATGCTGTGAAAATGAAGGCAAAGCGACTGGAACTAAAAAAATAATTGGAAAAAGTTGCACATAAAAAAATATATGGAAATGAATCAATGATAAATTCCTATATGTTTTGCGTTGGCCTACAAATTTTCCAAAGACGTTTAACTTGCGTTTCCATCTTGTTTAAAGTATGAAACATGGTTTCCTTTTTGCAATGTCACAATAATAAGCTTGCGGAGCAAAATTTCCTGTACAAGCAACCCCTGCTTTTTCCTACAGAAGCTTTTTCTTACCCGTGCTGGTGAGGAGACCCGTGCCCAGCCACGGGTGCAGGTGTGCGTAGTCGCGGCTCTTGTGGATGAACTTCTGGCTGCTCATGATGGTCTGAAACGCAAGCAAGTGCATACCATGTAGCTGCTTGTTGTCCTTTTGACGTGCCCAGGCCCAGCCTCCGCTTCTCTCTTGTCCCATCTCACAATCACCTTTCAATCTCTCTCTCCCTCTCTCTCTCTCCCCCCCCCCCCCCTCTCTCTCTCTCTCTCTCTCTTTCTCTCTCTCTCTCTCTCAACCCCTCTCTGTCTAACCATATCGTCGTCAAAGAGCTGCCACCGTGACGCACCTCCTTTGCCCTGATGCAACAACCTCTGCGGATGGACAGCCCTAGCCTCACTCCGGTCCCGCGCGGGTCGTTAAATACTCTCACACACACAAGACACGCACGCACACATCATTTTTACACGGCTCGGCGGCGGGTACTCCTGCGGCTAGCAAGTCACAGGCCACGCTAGAGGCCTTTCGCTCTGCGACGTCTGGAACCAAACACTGTCTCCGCTAAGCGAAGGACGCGCAAAGGCTCTCCTCCCCTTTTTCTTACCGTTTTTGGCGGGGGGGGGGTCTTGGCTAACGCAGAAATTTAGCTCGGGGTAGTCTGAGTGGAGAGAGCGGAGGGAGGAGGAGATGGGAAGTAGATAGTGAAGGGTTAAATAGAATGGAATCCATGTTCGGTCTGGGCATCGCGGAACCCTCAGCAATGATTGTCTTTGCGGTGCGTAAACTCTGGGATGCCTCGTTTCGTTTCGCCTTGCCACTTCTCTCTCTCTCTTTTGCTCGCTCGATGGCTCGCACTGTCTCTCTCGCTCTCGTTCTCTCTCGCTCTCGTTCTCTCTCTTGCTCTCTCTCTCGTTCTCTCTCTTGGTCTCTTGCTCTCTCGCTCTCTCGCTCTATATCGCTCTCTAGCTCTCGCTCTCTCTCTTTCTCTCGCTCTCGCTCTCTCTCTTTCTCTCGCTCTCTCTCTCCAAGTTCCACGGCCCGGCACGAGACGAAACATTATGTTAAAAGGGAGTTTGTTATATCACGGCACTGTGGGAAATGCCGCCATAAATTGATGGCATATATTTTATCGTATTATTTACAAGATATCTGCATTGTCTATTCAAGGACGTGGGCATGGGGAATACGTTTTTCCGATTTATTATTACGAATTATATTTTCACTAAGCGAGTGAGTGTTGTATTTTACCTGGCAGAGTACATGAAAGTTTGGAGGGGGTGCTGGAAAAGGGAGCCGCTTGGGGGTTAGTGCGTGTGGGGGAGATTGCGCACGCAATGCTGACACTCCATTGGGGTGCACCGGGTCGGCATCAACGCGATATTGGCATTAATGCGGAGGTGGCTGATGGGAAAATAAATAAAATTGAAAGTGAATAACCCCCTCCCCTTTTTTCTCTCCTTTTTTGCGGGGTTGACACGGCCGATGGCGGTTTAGCGACGCGTGCTTCTCTTTCGCGACCCTCTACCCCTTCCTCGCCTCCCGGGCCGCCCACTCCCATACCAAGTAAACAGCATCCGAGCCGAATGAAGCCCCAATCACCTTCCACCGGGCCGAAGGGGTGAGAGAAGGATATCTGATTGCTCTAAGGCGTCGGTCGGGCCAGAGGGGCGTAACTCCAGCCTGCGCCGTTGGGTGTGCCCCCCCCCCCCCCATCCCATTTTCCCCGCACCTTGCCGCCCGCGCGCACGCTTACTTTGTTGCTGATTTCCTCCTTGCTAAACCCTCCAGGGAGCAAAATGTAGCGATGCTTCCCCCCCCTCCCTCCCTCACCCCCTCCTTCCTTGATTTCTGCCGAAACAGTTCATCTTTCCTGGCTGAGCGGGTCTTTTAATGAGCAGCTCCGTATCGAGGCATAGGTCTGAAAGTATCGTTTCGTCCGGTTTCGTCTGCTCACTCTCTCCCTCTCTTTCCCTCCTTCTCTTCTCCCTACCTCTCCCTCTCTCTCTCCGCCTCCATCTCTACCTTTACCCCTGGGGGGCAGAGGCCTTGTCCTTCATCGCGATTATGGGGCACCCCCCTACCCCCGCAAATAATGCAATGGCACGTCTACAGTGGACTGCAAAAGGGCAAGAGGGTGGAGGCCGTCTGGGAACGCTTCGTTTGCGCGCGTGTTGATTTTACAACCTGACAAAAAAAATATATATTGGAAGGCGCACCTAGAGGAACGTTTACAGATTTTATTGATAATTTTTTGGGGGTTCATATGCTTCAAGTCCTCCCCAGATTGGCTTGTTTTGGGAATGTTTTCTGTACACCGAGTGAAACTGCACCATTTTTCCCTTTGAATCCAGCGCGCGTCGTCTCATCACGCGCGAGCTGTTGTTCGAATGCCGCTCAAAGGCTCTCCGGTATCCGCGGCATCCCTGCGAACTTGTGTCGAGTTAGTTGTTGTTTTTTTTTTTTTCGGTCGGTCGGACCTGTACACACACCTCAGCCAGGGGTGAGATTGGGGGGGGGTGTAAAGAGGCTAGGTCGGGTTCACAGTGAGTAGCGTTCCTGAAACTTTGATGCCGGCCTGGCCACCCCCTTTATCCACGTTGGGGGGGGGGGGGGGGCGACGACGGGGAGCTTCCCCTTGCTGCAGGGCGCGTCTGCTTCCCGCAAAGCACCCAGGCGAGGCCGCGGAGGGGTCCCTCCGGGTGGGCGGGTCGATCCCGCGGCCCGGGAGCAGCCCCCCCGTGAGGAGGCTAAGAGGATAACTGGAGGCAAAAGCATTGGTCTTCCGTCGTTAGACACTCTCTCTCTCCCTCTCCCCCCCCCCCCCCTCTCTCTCTCTCTCTGCTGCGGATCTAAAAGTCGGGCGGGTGCCGTTGGGGGGCGGGGCTCACCTCGACATCTTTGGCCTGCGAGAGGTTGATGTAGCAGGCCGGCCCGAGCCAGATGCGGTACAGGTGGCCGTAGCGCGAGCGGTACGCGTACACCATCTTGATGAAATCTGGAAACGAGGAAACAGTGTTCACGAACAAACTTTAAGCAATCCTTGAAAATAAATAAAACGGCATTATTATTTTTTAAAAGGAGAAATGCTTAACGCATATTTTTCCTGGTTTCTAAAGTATTGTAACCCTGCTCGCGCCCTCCGTGTTGTTCAGGACTCAATCACAGCTTCCGCAGCCACATCGTCTGTTTGGCGGGCCTATAAGCACGCGTATTTAGAACATACAGGAGCCCCGTTACGACTAGGCTGCATCCCTTTTCGCAAAATACAATTCCTGACGTGTCAACAATTTTCACAAAAGGAAAATATTAACTCTTTCCGAGATCATAATCATTTTTTGTTTGTTTGTTTGTTGGAAAGATTGTGGAGCAGGAAAAAGAAAGTTGCTAACAATACGCATAAATGCTGCTTAGGACCTCGTCTTGCCTCTCACCAAAGTCATTCGCGAGGATGCTGAAGAAGTTGCCGATGACGGGCAGGAACCTGGGCCCGGGGAGGGTGTTGGCCAGCTGCAGCAGGCGCCTGTTCCTCAGGCTCCACAGCAGCTGCAGCAGCGCCAGGGCGCCGACGACCCACAGCACGGTCACGGCGAGCCCCATGCCGCGCGCTGCCGGGGAATTGGGGCGCGCGAAATTTGAAAATCCTTGTCTCGATGATTTGTGTAGTTTTTTTTTAAGTTTTTTTTTTATCTGGCTTGTGCTTGGTCCGTGCTTTTTCCGATGCTCGTCTCGCACGGACTCACTCACAGCCCCAACACTATATATCTCTCTCGCGCACACACACGCACACACAACCACCCGCCGTGACTGATTCGATCCGATTCGATTTTGATTCGATTGGAGCGCGAGCCCACCGCGCGCGTGTCCCGTTGCGACTGGATGCGTTATGATATGGCCCGAGTGCGCCTCTGTGTGTTCCAGTGCGCAGCCGTCCGTCCCCCTCCCTCCTCTCCTCTCCCACTCCCCACCATCCTCCCCGCCTCACCCCCACGTCGACGCACTCAACGCGTACCTATAGGCGCTGACAGTCGTCACCACACTGCTACGACTCCTTAAACCACATGTCCTTGCCCCCCTCCCCCCTCCCCCGCTCCCCCTTTCCCACCCGCCGTCCCGCGCTGGGCCGGGAGCGGTCCTGGATGTATCACAAGAGAGCCATTCTTGCGCGTCTTCTTCACTGTAAAAAATAGTAGGTAGGTTTACAGGAAAAAAAATTACAATTTGAAATCGTAAAAATACATGCAGTACGTATCGACTTAAAATTCATTGGCGAGTAAAAAATCTGCTCTCGTAAATTTATAACTTGCACTATAACTTAAGTTTACAAAATTTGTAAGTTTAAAACTATGTTTTTCACTAGCGACCGCTAGCGACCGTGTTTCCTGTTGCCCCGCTGAAATCAATGTGTCCTCCTGCAGCCTGCTGCCAAAACTTTTGCAACTGCCGCGTGGGTGGGCTTTTGTGAAGTAAAAGAAATATAATTGTACCATCATTCTCGAATCTTTTTTTGTACGCAATAATTGTTATTGTTGCTACCATAAGAACACCGTAAAAAATATGTTCAAAAATTGATGTATATATTTTTTAATTTACTATTTACAAAATATGTTTTACGTGTGCATCATCGCGAAAGGATTTCAAGTCGCTATGTAGTGTTTGTAAATCTACAATTTTAAATCGTAAATGTACGACACCTTCCATGGAAACTTTTCCTGTACCCAATACAAAAATTTCTCGCAGTGAATATTCTAAGATAGTCTAGAAAATGTTTTCTAGATACTATTTTCAGTTTTTATTCTATATAAAGTTAACATTCTTGTGATAAGAAATTTGTCATATTCTCTCCAGGAATACATTTATTTGTATCATAGTACAAACACTGATGTAGTACTTTATCACTTCATTGTGCTTTCGAAGAGTATTGGATTTGTTGGTATAATTTTGCTATTATTACCGATCAATACACATTTGGTTTGGTTCCTTCGTTAATGTTAGTGTGCGGCTAATGAGCTGGGGCTGACACTAGCAATTTTCAAAAATAATGAATCGCTAGCCCGTACGAATTAAGTACAGAACAAGACGCTTTTAGTGAGGACTGCTTTGGAGACTGCGTCTTTCAGGAAGTTGTCAGCTAGAGCTAATTTCATTCTTGCGAAATATAGTATATTAATATTGGTCGAAGAAACAAATATTTATCGTCAGAAAAATACGAGGGGGAAACGACTGTTAAACTTTGTGTCAGCCGGATTACGGATTACCCGGACTACGTCCGGAGTGTCCTCCGGATTACGTCGCTTTTTCTCTAGGATTACCCCGGATTACCCCCAAAATTTCCCCGGATTACCCCAAAATTTCCCCGGATTACCACGGATTTTTTAGAATTTCCTCGGATTACCCCTACCGGATTACCTTTCGGCTGTCAGCCGGATTACCTTAGTCGTCGAAGTAAACTTTTTTTCGGATGATTCTCAATTTGAGAGAAACACTTGCTAGAAAAAAAAATTCTTCTGACATGAACCCAGCCTCTCTTGCTAAAATAACTCTTGCTTTGAGCGGAAAAAAACATGGCCTGATCAATCATACATAGCCCAATAGAGTGTTTTTCTTACAATCAGAAAACGTTTTCTTTAGTGATATCACTGTAAGTTTCTCGGTATGCGTTATGCCCGGATGGGTGGGTGCTGGCTTAAGTGGTCGGCGCTCTTCTTCCGCCCCTCATCTAGTTGTCACCACTTGGGTCACTTGTTTGCCCACCTGCTTCTGTTGCTGGTCGCACTCATGTCCGTGACACAGTTCTCACTCGTTGGTGTGAGTGTCCTAGTCGGTGCGTTTGCATATGCCGATGTCTTCGCGTGTCGGTGTGTGCTCGTGTGTGTCAATTGCTTAGCCAACATTACTACCGAGTTGCTTCGCGGGCTTGCGGTCCGCCCCGCCTCTGCTTAACAGTCTTAAGACAAGTGCCTTTCACACAAAAATAATGAATAAATCAGGGAACTCAGCATACTTGCGATGATGCTGCTCACCTTGTTCCTATCGTTTTTTTTTTATTTATCAGACAACAATACCTCTATTATTTGGAGAGCAGTGGAATTTCTCACAGAAATAATAAGTGATTTGCATGAAGCATCCCAAGCGTAACACGTTTAGCGTCTGTAGGTGCACATTAGGCGTCAAAAGTTTAAACAGAAGCTACCTTTTAAGAAAAGTGGTTAACTGAACCAAAGTGTTACACAGCTTACGCTAGACAGACACTGAGGCTGGTTTGGTGAATCTTATGCCAAAGGGCATGATGATATTATTTTTGCAAATTTTGCAAAGTATGGGATTAAATCACTAAACAGAAAATGTAATAACAACTTTTTATCGCAAAT